TAAAAAGAGCACTGTGGGAAAGTCCAAGCTCACATGTCAATCAAACAACAGGAAAAAGAGGTTATGCTCAGTTTTCAAATGTCTCCTCGAAGATGGCAGGAGAATGGGGTTCAGAGGAGATGAAAGGAAGAGAGAGGCCTCCTGGTAGGCTGCTGGGACACTGGGTGTACTGTATTCCTGAGGGCCGGAGAGGAATTCTGATCTCACTGGGAAGGGTCAAGTGTGGTCTGGGCTGGTTAGTGGTGATACAGGCCCCAGCCAGGTTCTGACCATCTTTCTAAAACTGTGTTCTTACCTCAGGCTTCACATTCTTAGGGAAACCATTGCTGATCCCACAATCTGGATAAGTTCCTATCCCAGGAGAACATATGAGCTTCAAGGGAGGTCTCTGGATCCCTTAGGCAGAGCATTTAATTCTTTTTCCTCAGGGGGGCACTGATCAGAGTCTGGACCCCCAAAATGAAACAATTGTCTCTGTAGACACAAAACTGTTCCCCTTTGATGACTGAAAAAAAAGACAACTACACAGATTTTCCACAAAAGATAGCAGAGATGGGAGGCCTGTAATCACCTCTTCCCTAAGGTGGAATATTTTGAAATTTTTTTTAAATAAGAGTTTCATCATGGCCAGGCATCTGGATGAAGTACTTGGCAGAGAATGAGAGGCATCTATAGAGACTACAAGAGCCAAGGGATGGGGATGGGGGGAGTAGGGGTCTGAGTCAACAATGCCATTGGGCCAAACTTGCATGGATCTCAGAGTCATCAGCAGAGGATGCTCAGAGAATGCACAGTGATGGGTCTAGGCCAGTGCACTCCCACGGAGCAGCAGCTGGGTAGGTATTATCATGAAAATGATCAGACAACTTATAGGGGAAAAAGAGCTACAAGTCATATTCACACCCAACTGTGATGTGAGAAAATGTATCCCCTTGCTCCATTGACATTATTATCATCATGACCTCGGATGAACTACAACGGGAAAGTGTGTCCTTGAGAGAGGTTCGGGCTTCTGTTAAGGGCAACAGCCTTTGAAGAGGCTGAGGATATAGGATTCGTGTGAACCAAGAAAGGAAGATTAAAAAGAGCACTGTGGGAAAGTCCAAGCTCACATGTCAATCAAACAACAGGAAAAAGAGGTTATGCTCAGTTTTCAAATGTCTCCTCGAAGATGGCAGGAGAATGGGGTTCAGAGGAGATGAAAGGAAGAGAGAGGCCTCCTGGTAGGCTGCTGGGACACTGGGTGTACTGTATTCCTGAGGGCCGGAGAGGAATTCTGATCTCACTGGGAAGGGTCAAGTGTGGTCTGGGCTGGTTAGTGGTGATACAGGCCCCAGCCAGGTTCTGACCATCTTTCTAAAACTGTGTTCTTACCTCAGGCTTCACATTCTTAGGGAAACCATTGCTGATCCCACAATCTGGATAAGTTCCTATCCCAGGAGAACATATGAGCTTCAAGGGAGGTCTCTGGATCCCTTAGGCAGAGCATTTAATTCTTTTTCCTCAGGGGGGCACTGATCAGAGTCTGGACCCCCAAAATGAAACAATTGTCTCTGTAGACACAAAACTGTTCCCCTTTGATGACTGAAAAAAAAGACAACTACACAGATTTTCCACAAAAGATAGCAGAGATGGGAGGCCTGTAATCACCTCTTCCCTAAGGTGGAATATTTTGATTGTTAAATAATGCTGTCTGGGATATTTTTAAATTTCTCAGTTAAAATGCTTTCTTTAGTTAACTGTGCCATTCTGGAAGGACATGGCGGTGAGGTCACAAATAAGAAAGACAGACAAGTCTTCTCTGGGATTCATCAAGCGTCGAGAGGGAGTCGGCTCTAATAGGAGGCGAATATCCTGTCACTAAGTAGGTCTTGGCCCCTTCATAATTAAGGATATTAAGCAGAGTTGACGATCCAGGAACGTGTCTGGGGCTAGAGCGGTAGTTGTTTGTATGACTCAGTACATCAAACATGTCTTAGCTGGGCCCATCCAAAAGAAGAAAGGAAATACACACACATACACATGCACATGCACACACACCACACACACATCGCCCTCTCAAGAGGCCACCCACAGGCAGTGATGAATTTCCAAGACCCAAACTAACTGCCTTGGAATTCAATTAAAATGCTCTTTATTGCTCAAAGCTCGGCATGTGTGAATTGGGCGTCACTGCTTCCCAGAGTTGTTGAGAGGAAGATATTCCCAAGGACCAAGGGTGCCCAGCCAAGTCTGGAAAAGGTACAGGCTGGACATGAAAATAAAAGCAGTGTTATTCAGAAGTGGTTGCATCTCAGTCAGACTGGGATGCTCCTGGGAACGTTGGAAATATCCAAGATCTTTCAAGATGCTGGGCACGGGGATGTAGAAAGGACATCCAAGTGATAGAAAAGAGATTTCATAGAAAAATTGAAAGGTAGGAAAACTATTCACAAAAATAGTAATAGACACTAATTATTGACTTCAAACATTTAAAAGGCTCGTGATAGTTGGAAGCTGAGTTATATAGCTGAGGTTCAAGTCATGGACATCCTGGACACAGAAGATTAAGGTTAAGAGATAGCTTCAGCCTTGGGCAAAAGTGAAGAGTCAAAACATAGGAAAACAGCCAGGAGTTGTTCCTTGGAGCACACAGAAATGTGAAACCAAAAATTAAATCCAAATGATGAGGTCAGTGCCCATGGCAAAGGGGGTCCGGGACTAAGTACGGTATATTTGTAGGGTGGCTGTAAACCCCATTTCCCAGGGACAGTCGCATCTTATCCCTATTGTTGCAACTCAGTGTAGTATTTGTTTTGGAGTTTTTATTTTTAACCAAGTGTTATTGTTAATATTTGCATTAAAATAAGTTGGGGTGGATGTAAAGAACTATACTTCATACGTCCAGCTTCTCTGAAGTTCACATTTATAAATATAATGTGATGTATGGGCACCAAACATAGTCTCAACCGGTGATTATGTCTGAAAGATAATCAATAATAACCCATCTCTCCTCTCCCAATTTTTTTTTCATTTCCCCAAAAGGAGATCCTGAGAACATGATTCACATGCATGTAGCTTGTTTTGGATTTGAAGGAAAACACAAGTAGAGGAGTAGGAATGTGAAATAAGACTGGGTGTGATGTATGGGCACCAAACATAGTCTCAACCGGTGATTATGTCTGAAAGATAATCAATAATAACCCATCTCTCCTCTCCCAATTTTTTTTTTCATTTCCCCAAAAGGAGATCCTGAGAACATGATTCACATGCATGTAGCTTGTTTTGGATTTGAAGGAAAACACAAGTAGAGGAGTAGGAATGTGAAATAAGACTGGGAAAGAAGCAAATAGAGGTGCAGAACCAAGTGAGCTACCTCTGAGCAAATGACGCTTATTCAAGCTAGGCAAATCCCAGGAGTCAGTGTAAGAGGCTGGCCCCCTGATTTTCCCACGTATGGTGTGAGATAGCAGAAATGTATAGACTTTGATTAGTCATCGGTTGATGACTTCTTCCAAGGAGCATTAATTCCATAACTCTTATGCACTGCACTGCAGACATTAAACCAAGCTTTGGCTATTTAAAAACAAAACCAAAAAAACAAACTTAAAGATGTACAGGTGAGTGCTGCTGTACATCAAAGTGATAAAGGCAGCCGAACCGGTTTGGCTCAGTGGATAGAGCATCGGCCTGCGGACTCAAGGGTCCCAGGTTCGATTCCGGTCAAGGGCATGTACCTTGGTTGTGGGCACATCCCCACTGGGGGACATGCAGGAGGCAGCTGGTCAATCTCTCTCATTGATGTTTCTAACTCTCTATCCCTCTCCCTTCTTCCCTGTAAAAAATCAATAAAATATATTTTTTAAAAAGTGATAAAGGCAAAGGGTTATAGATTGGATGCTAACAGCATTTCACGTAGTCCTGCTCTTGCACTGCTCATATCCAAATGATACTCATCATCTGTATCTTATAACACTTGCTCTTGATTCTCCCTATCTTGAACCAGAACTAGCAGAAGTTAGTCTAGGTTGTTTGCCTGGACTGAGATGACTGAACTCCTGGTTATACCTTGGATGTGGCTGTTGTAGTGTACAGGCATGGTATCCCCTGGACATGGACGCCAATCAGTATCCCAGTGAATCCCTCAACTTTCAGGTATTACCCTCCCTGGCTCCCTTATGTAGTAACAACCCTTATGATAATCAGGGTCCGTTATCTCTGGCAGGATAGTGGCTTATTATTTGCTTGTTGGTCTTTTGAGGAACCCAAAACAACCAAATGAGAGTTGTGATTTTAGGATTGGTGAAATGCTTCCTGTGGCCCTTGGAGTAGCGCCCACTCCATGGAAACTAGAAGCTTTAGGCTAGTGGCGTCAGGGAACACAAATTACCCAAATGCATGAGTAGGAGGGATGGTGAGAGGAGCCACTTCTACTGAGACCCTTTGGTTTCCAGACCTATACCTATAAGGTCCTCAGCAACATAAAATGACCGTTGGTTCAACATATATATGACATCTCAAAGGACAATACCCAACTCTGATGCCTTTAGGAAAAAGTTCCAGTATTTTATCAGGCCAGTAGCTTCTGAGTCATACAGATTATGATAGGCTTAATGAGTCCCTGTGTGGGTCTTGATCAAAGTCAGAGTCCAAGTTTGACCTGAGATCATCAAACTAGAGTGGCCCTTGGCTCTGTCTGCATGTGGCCTATACCAGCTGAGAAATTTTTTTAAAAGGATTGTAAAAACAAAAACAAAGATGAACATGTGACAAGAGGCCATATGTGCCCCAAAGTTTAAAATATTTACTTTCTAGCTCTTTACACACACACACACACACACACACACAAATTGCCAGCCTCTAAACTGGACCATTGATCGCTAATTTTGGTTTAAGAAAAAGGCAGCAAAATACTCATTTCTACTAAATAAAATTTCATTTGGAACCCAATTCAATTATAAAACAAAGAGGTAGAAACTGCTTTTGTGGAAGGGATAACAGATTTTAAGTGGTTGGCTTAGAACCCGGTTCCCTCAGCTTCCCTCTCATTCTCCTAAAGCCCAAGTCCCTCTGTAGAACCTTTGGGCTCAACAGAACACGGTTGAACACATTGAATTTAGAAGTGCTAACTCATCCAGTGTTCATATTCTGATATTGTTTTTCATATTGGCCAAGGCTGCTAAAGAACTCTCTGGCCTCCCAAGAGATGAATTTTGTTCAGTAGTATACAGTCCAGTAATTATTAACATGTCCCCAGGGCATGACAACCAGAGAGCTCCAACAAAGTCACAGAGCTGTGAGCAAAGCAATTCAATCTTTGCCCTCTCCCCCCGCCCCACAAAAGCTTCTACTAGCTTCCTAAAAGTGTCCATTTCACCCCTAAAATCGGCCTTCCTGATGCTGAAACTAACCCCCAGGTGGGAATGCGAACCCCTTGTCAGAGGCAGGGTGGGCTTTGGGCTAGTCTTTTCAGTTTGAGGAGGTTTCTTTTTGAATATGAGAAATACGGTTGTGCTTATGCTTTCCTGAAGAATTTGAAAACACAGAAATGAAGTCAAATGGGCAGTTCTTCCTGGACTGTGTTAACATTTCATTCCTTGCCAAAACCAGAGACAAACACCAATTCCCCGTTTAGCTGGGACCCTCCTTTTTCATTCTCAGGGGACACGTTGTGTAACCTCGGAGAGTTATACAAAGGCTTGGTTCACCGTCTTTCTGGCATATTGTTTATAGAATGTGCCTCCGAGGTAATGGCCTATATCTCAAAGCCATCATATGCCCAATGAGCCAAAGCCTCTTCTTTCCTGAAATCCAGAAGGGAATGGGGTGGAACTGGTCCTTCCTTCCCAGGACTATGCCACATCCTGGAGGTTCTAAAGCTCTCCCAAGATTCCTTAAATTCCCAAGGGACTTGCCTTTTCATGGCTACCCCTGGCTCTGATATCCTACCTCTATTAAACTCCCATTCGTCTACTCTACTCCAGGGCGTTGTCAAAAACAATAAGGCAATAAGCTTGCAAATAGCGCAGCCAAACATGGATTTCTCCTTTCACTTCGCAGTATTTGCTTTATGCGTTTTGAGGCTCTGCAGTTGTGTGCATGCATATTTAGGACTTTTATATTTTCATTACCTTGTTTTTTTTTATTCCTGATAATACTTCTTGCTCTGAATTATTTTTATATTCATAGTTATTTTCACTCTTTTTTGTTAATGTCTGCATGGTATATCTTTCCCCCCACCTCTTTATTTTCAACAATTGACATCATTATGCTTAAATTGGGGCCTCATAGACAGCAATGACTTGTTTGTTGTCCATTCTGACAATCTCTGTATTTTAATTGGTATGTTTAGAAAAATCACATCTAATATGATATCCATGTGGTCGGAATTAAATCACTTGCCTTTTCATGGCTCCCCCTGGCTCTGATATCCTACCTCTATTAAACTCCCATTCGTCTACTCTACTCCAGGGCATTGTCAAAAACAATAAGGCAATAAGCTTGCAAATAGTGCAGCCAAACATGGATTTCTCCTTTCAATTCGCAGTATTTGCTTTATGCATTTTGAGGCTCTGCGGTTGTGTGCATACATATTTAGGACTTTTATATTTTCATTACCTTGTTGTTGTTTTTATTCCTGATAATACTTCTTGCTCTGAATTATTTTTATATTCATAGTTATTTCACTCTTTTTTGTTAATGTCTGCATGGTATATCTTTCCCCCCACCTCTTTATTTTCAACAATTGACATCATTATGCTTAAATTGGGGCCTCATAGACAGCAATGACTTGTTTGTTGTCCATTCTGACAATCTCTGTATTTTAATTGGTATGTTTAGAAAAATCACATCTAATATGATATCCATGTGGTCGGAATTAAATCTACTATCTTGCTGGTTCTTTTCTATTTAGTTTATCTGGTTTATTTTTCTTTCTGCTTCCCTGTTTTTATGGCTTATCTTGGGTCTATTGAGTTTTGTAATGATTTGATTTTATCTCCTCTCGGCTTATTATTTCTACCTTTTCACTTAATTTTTTTGTGTGTGGTTACTCTAGGGTTTACAGTATACCACTTGCATTAGAGTTTACAAAAATGTCAGTTTATGTGTAGCTTAAAGTATATAGACTATTCTATATTCTTTCCTTTCATTTTTGCTCTATTGATGTCATAATTTAACTTTTACATTTGCTATAAACATAATACATTGCTTCTATTTTTGGTTTAGATAGTTAACTTGAGAGCAATTAAATCTTAGAAAAAATAAATTTCATTTTCACTTCATTTATTTTATTTTCAGAGCTCTTCATTTCTTTGTGTTGATCCAAGTTTCTGTCTCATATCGTATTTCTTCTGTCTGCAGAAAAATTTCCTGAACATTTTTTTTGTAGAGTAAGTCTGTTGGCAATGAATTCTCTGTTTTTGTTTGTCTATTTAAGTCTTTGTATCTATTTGAAGTCATGGTTCTGACAAGTAGTCTGTTGTAATGTTTATCTTTTTTTAAATCTTTATATAATGTGTGTATTTGCCTTTGGCTATCTTCAAGATTTTCTCTTTGTTCAGTGGATTGAATATGATATGAAAAACTACGGGTGTGTGTGTGTGTGTGTGTGTGTGTGTGTGTGTGTTTAGTACTTATCCTGTTTGGGTAATTCTGAGCTTCTTGGGTTTTTGGTTTGGTGTCTGTTATTCATTTTTGAGTGTTATAATTAGAAATGCTGGGTTTGATGTTGCTGTGTTCACTCTCAGTGCACCACAGGCTTAAAGACTTCCAATTCCCCTAGTGATACTTTATTTAGGGTGTGAGCTAGTTTGCAAAAGGGTTTATCTCATTGCCTGCTCTCCCATTCGTTTTGCACCATGCCTCAGAAAAGATCTCCTCTCTTGTGTTCCTCTTCTATCCTTCTCCCAGCAGAATTCCATTATCACTTGTCACTTGACACTGGTTAACCTGGTGAGGGATGTTCTCCGTATTTCTGATGAAGCCTCAGTCTTTGACACCATACCCCAGGGTCTCAGAGCTGTGACTTCCTCCTCCTCCAGCTAGAGCCTGTACCCTATGTTATTCCTGTTTTGGCTTCCGCCGTAGTTTTCTTTCTTTCCCTTCCCCATCGCCGTGGATTTTCACCGGTGTCCTAATGGCCATGACCTTTGTTGTCCTTCATCCCACAGAGTTAGGCTTTTGCTCAGTAGTGAAAGAGGAGAGAAGGGTCTCCATAGAGTGTAGTGACCCTCCATCATTGGCTGCTCTTCCCTGCCCCCACCTCTGTACGTGAAGGAACACTTTCTCAGGACTCTCTTCCATCTTTTCTATGAGCACCAAGTAGAATTCATGAAAAGAAACCCTGAAGAAAATGCAGCATCCCCCAGTTTCTGCAGCTCTACAGGGGTCCAATTGCATCTTCCCTAGGTAAGTCGGCACTAGCATCCATCTAGCACTGCTGACCTATGTCTCCCGTTACAATTTGGACCAGTTGGTGGTCCAGAAATGTCAGTGCTTCTGTAGTGTCAAGAAAAGTAATGGATGTATCTGGCTTTTTTTATGGTTAAGAGTGATTTTTTTAAATATATTTTATTGATATTTTACAGAGAGGAAGGGAGAGAGAGAGAGAGTTAGAAACATTGATGAGAGAGAAACATCGATCAGCTGCCTCCTGCACACCTCCCACTGGGGATATGCCCGCAACCAAGTTACATGCCCTTGACCGGAATCGAACCTGGGAACTTTCAGTCCGCAGGCTGACGCTCTATCCACTGAGCTAAACCGGTTTCGGCTAAGAGTGATTTTTCTTTCAGCTCTCTAAATCCTCCAGTAAATACCTGAAGTCAAGTACTTTTCATGTCTACCTATAAATTAATTCTTTGAGGTTTAAGATAGTTCCCCCATGTTACAGTTACAGAAATGGGTGCAGAATAGACCCGTGTATTGATAGGCTGGTGTGGGGTGGGGGGGTGTAAGGAAGCAGAGGGCAGAGCAGAGGCAGGGTGGAAACTTCCAGTGTGCTGTGCCCAATTCTTCGCTGTAGGTCCACTTAGCTGAGGAGAAAGGATGAGGATGAGGGTGATAGTGATGGTGATGAGTAATGATAATGATATCAAATAAGCTATTGAGGTATTAAATTATGTCTTATTTTCTGCATTCTTAAATTCTCTACCATAGTTTTGCTTTTTCCCTTTTTGGGCAATGGTATTCAATGCCTTAAGGACAGAATGCCAATTTTTAAATCATCATATTTGGGGCCTTTGAATTTTGTAAGCCAGGGACAAAGATAAGGGAAAGATTTGGAGTAAGCAAAACCAATTTTGTCTATTCCTGAAATGAGATCAAATTGGCCTGGGCTGGGGGAAGGAAGCTGACTCAGAAGGGGGAGCAGGAGAACTGAGATGCAGGTATTCAGAGAAATGGGCCCTGTCCCTCGCTTCACTCAGTCAAGCTTTCAACCTGGCCTAGAGGCGGACAGAAACTCCAAGTGTCTTTGTGATTTCAACACTGAGACAGCTGGTTCCTCCCTTTCTGGGTGGGGTCTGAAAAAGCAGCGGGGGCCTTATGGTACCCCTCCTTCCCCACATCTGAGCAAGGCCCAGGAGAAGTAGAATAGGAATGGCACAACGCCTCTAGACCCATTGGATTGAGGCAGATTCCCAGAGTTCCCATACACCCCGTGGGAACCTGGAAGCAGTGCAACAGTTTCCTATGCTCCCTAGGGAACCACCAAGCAAGGCTCTTAGACGCATCCAGTGCATTTCCCTGGTTGAGAGCAATTCAGGACAGCAGCTCAGTTTCTCCCGAGTCCCCAAGGGTGGCAAGGAAGCAGATGACATAGAGGACTTGAAGCGGTCTTTGAAATGACATAGCAGTGACCTGCTTCGACTCAGGACTGAAGGCCAGTCCCAATTATATCCTTCTAGGTCAGTGGTTCTCAACCTTCCTAATGCCGCCACCCTTTAATACAGTTCCTCATGTTGTGGTGACCCCCAACCATAAAATTATTTTTGTTGCTACTTCATAACTGTAATTTTTCTACTGT